AGCTGCCACAGATGCCTTTCACTCCACTCATTTCTAAGTCCCAGGGAAGAAAGAATATTTGTTACCTGAGGTACCAGAACCCTAGCTGTGGCTGGAAGCAGGAGAAAAAAGCCTCGAGTTCTCTGACCACATGTGCACAAGGTGTAGATGGAGGCAGGGCTCAGGACTGATGAGGAAGGTGCATGTCTGCCCGGGCGACACTGACAGAGCAGCTTACCTCCACGGAAGTCTGTCGATGTCAGGGTCATGTGCCCACTGTCCATCGGGCTGCCATCCCTTTGAGGAGAGGGATACACTGAAGGGAACCAAAGGATCTTCTAAAGGCAAGTTCTTACTGCAAGCTGGTCAAAGGTCCCTGCAATCAAAGAAATCATTGTGGTTTTGCATTTGGCATAGGTATGCCCCCTTTCTTCTAGGGACAAGTCTGAAAGATTTCTGACTGGATCTTAACTTTCAAAAAGAAAAGTACCCAGAATCCACCTAGGGATAAAAGAGACAAGAGAAAGACAAGAAGTCTCACGCTACACCTCAGGACAGAAAGCGAGTATAAAAGCATTTCCTTCCCAAAGAAGAGACATAAGTCGGGTGTTACTTTTAAAGAATCAGTGTCTCCTATCACACGTTTCAACACAAGTCAACTCATCACACCAGTTTAAAATATGTGCCCCAAAATGACTGCAAAACCCAGGTGCCACCCTATACCAGCCTTGACTAGAAGCAAGAGAAAAGGCTTGAATGTAAATGAAAAATACAGGTAATTAACTTCTGTAGAAGTTGGTCTAGAATCAACCTTGCCATGGACCGATCTCCACTGACAATGGCAGGGAAGTCACTAGGGCCAATCGAAGCATACAATGAATCACAATGTCAATCTTATACTACGTCAACCAAAAATCATCAAAATTCAGGAAACTAAGTTAAGTACCTTATCCAGTGTAAAAAGGCACCTCACCCAGTGTAATACTTAACAGTAAATAGCCAAAACAGCGATCCTTCCCCACTAACTGCAGAGTTAGCCAACTATTTGTATATATTCTATTGTGTATCATCTCACAATTTCCTTTTTAAAAAATCCTCTTTCCTTCAGGCACAGAAATGTCTGAAGATATTTGATCCTTGCCACCTCAGTAATGCAAATAATACATCAGAATACCTTTTACAGTTATTTGTGCATCACCCACAGAAAGGAAAACATTCTACTCATAAAGAGCTTTATGAGGGAAAATGCCTTTGTCCTAAAGGTTTCGTTCAATTAACCTTATAGGTATCCAAGAGAGCAGTGGTTCTCAACCTTCCTAATGCGCGACCCTTTAATACAGTTCCTCATGTTGTGGTGATCCCCAATTTCATTGTTACAAATTGAACATAATTAAAGCATAGTGATTAATCACAAAAAGAATATGTAATTATATATGCGTTTTCTGATGGTCTTAGGCGACCCCTGTGCAAGGATCGTTTGACCCCCAAAGGGGTCGCGACCCACAGGTTGAGAACCGCTGCAATAGAGGAAAAGTCCCCAGCAAAGTAACTTAGTTCTTTTAAGATGAATCAGAATAACAGGGACAAAAGGAATCCCAAACAGACCAAAAACCTTTAGGTCTGGTAGGTTCCCAAAAGGGAAATGTCTAAATCCCTTCCTCCACTCTTGAAATAATCAGGAACGAACTCCACATGACTCAGTCCTTCAGGGCCCAACAGGTCTCAACTGTGAGACAAAAAAGCAATGTTACCACAAAGAACCTACCCTAGGATGTTAAGGGTGAAGAATAAACAAACACAGCTGTCATTAAAAACTCATTTCTGCAGAAAGCAAGTGTGTTAATAAGTCCCTGGACAGGCTACTCTGCCAGACTGTTTTATGGGCCACTACAGAACCATGCACAGGCAAAGAGCAAGGAAGGACTCACAGACAAAGAAAGCTGCAGGACCACAAAACCAAAATGGGATTCTTGGCAGACACTGGGTGTGAGCAAAGGAGCTTGAGGGACAAGGCCACCCTGCATGGGCTGATGTGACAACCAGCGCTGGCAGCTGAAGCAGCTCTCCATTTCCAATTTCCCGGCAACATAGGAAAGATTTTTTTTTTAATAGATTGGCTTCTGGATCCATGTCAAAGTGGGCCATAGTTACTGGAACAAACCCAAATCCATTCACTTAAGACATAGAGCTACAGAGGTGAACATAATCTATGTATTGAAGATTAAGTAAAACCATTTATACATGCTAGGCAAGAATTTCCTGTTAAACTACCCAAGAAATAAGGAGGCAGTAAATAAAAATTCAACACTAGGACAGTATGCTGAAGATGATATTTAACAGCCTAGGATTCAAGGCAAGTGTGAAATGGTGATCCTGGGCTAAGAGGCTACAGACCAGACCCACTGTTTGGCTGAAATGCTCAAGCTTCCCAGTGGACTCCCACTGGCCATTCCCATAGGGGAGCTCACATGTGAGCAGACGCCAGACTTCTCAATGGTGGTGACACAGATGGTCAAAAAATGGGTACATCAAGGGCAGGACCCACCAGAAGCCCTTGTCAGAGGCGTAGCTGGTTGATCCACCACCTCCCCGTTTCTCTCTTCCAGGAAGGACTTTGTGACTCTTGTGACCCTTCCAGCTCCAGAGGTAAATTCTGTTTGGTGGGAACCAATGAGATAGCCCCATTCCCACAGCCAGGGGCTGACTGTGACTCAGTTCTGATGAATGAAATACGAGAAAAGTGGTCTGGGGAGGCTGCTGAGAAAGGTTCTGGTACTTGAACAAGCAAATGCTTCCAGGAAAAAGTGACCCTTTACCTGCCCGGAGGTAAAGCCTATGAAGAAAGAAGGAAGTTGTCCTACGACACATCAAAACTTGTGGCACAAAAGAGCAGCGCAGCGGGGATGAAGGATGAAATAATAAAATGGATCAAAATAGACAAGGGTCTTACATAGATCAATGATGATGGTGCCACAAATCAAAAAATATCAAAACAAGCTTAACTCTCCTTGTTTAATTTAATGAAATAAAAAAGGCCATTTTATTAGCTAGGCAGTTAGCCCAAAGCTCAGAGGCTATAGTGGGAAGATCTCTGCTTTAGCACTATGAATGACATACCATGTTTAAAAATGAAAAAAAAAGGGCAAGCTATTAGCATCTTTCTTGCTTTTTCATGAATACTACTCTAATGACGAGTCAAAAGAATGTAACTTTAAAAACCTATGCCAGAGTACATACATCTCTAACATACACAACACAATCCTTTACCAGAAGAAGCTGTACTTACATAGAGGACTTCACTTTCTAAAACTCATCAAGGGACTTTTTTACATCACTTTTCTAGTGAATCCAATGGGTAAAACTACCCTAAAAATTTTTAGGAACTGAAGAAAGTTTTACTCTAAGTCAGGGATCTGAATCCACTAGTAAACAACCACTCACTCCATGGCCATGTCTCCTTAATATTCATACTACAACAAAGATGACTACTTCCCTATTGTTTTTAATCTCTTTTCCTAGACTAGATGATTGAAACCAAAACATCATTATGCAAACTTTTAATACTAACCCAGTAATAAAGAAACCATTTTCTGCTAACTTCCTCTTTGGCCAATCTTGCTCTATAAAAATGTAAAGCCCCTTAACACTAAGTGAAATTCTAAGGCCCTCTCTCCTATCACTACTTAAAAAAAACTAAGAATATTACCTCTGACAACATTATGGGTGTTTTTTTTTTTTAAAGGGCAACCAACCATATAAACCACAATTCTTTTCAACTTTGTATCAAAGACCCATTTGTCTCACATATCAATTTAATTTTTACCTTACTTGACAGGACTATACTATTTTAAACTTCATTAGCCTACCTAGAGGATGGAAAAACAGCCTCTGGGTCACCACTGAGGGTCCTCCCCTGGGCCAAGGAAATGAACGAAACTCTGTTCACAAGATTGGGCAGATACAATCACGGGTCTGGATTCCCGCCCTGCCCAACTTATGATAGTTAGTATGGTTTAACAAGAGCAGTTCATTATGTTTTTAGTCAAATGAGACAGAATCATCTTTTAAGAAATTGTGATACTATTCCTGGCTTTCTGGAGGCAGTTATTTTCTAAACAACAATCTGCCTAGTAAAATATACTAGACACAAGCAAAATTATCAAAACTTCTTATCCTACGTGGAGAGTCAACATAGTGTCTTTGGAAAGGAATGGCTAGCCGAGCACCAAGCCCATTTCCTCTGCCATGAGGCACAGTTAGATGACATTTTCCAGCCTCGCCTGAGTTAGGTGTGGTCCTGTGACTGAGTTCTGGCCAGGACGATGTGAGCAGAAAGAAATAATGTGCTCTATGTCTAGGCCCAGGAACACGAAAACTGCCCACAGGAGCCTCCATTGTTTTGCCCCCAGGAGACTTAAAGCAGGCAAGCCCACAAATGGAAGAAGGGAGCAACAAGGTAGAAGAACTTGGATTCCTCAATCACTGTTTGGAGCAGCGGTCGCCAACCTTTTGGACCTCACGGACCACCAGTGGTCCACAGACCACCAGTTGGTGACTGCTGGTTTGGAGGAAAACTGCCCACAAACCAGGGCTTCCAGTGCGTAAGAAATAAGCATCTATCATATTTGAGCCAGTATACATTTAGGAGGTTATTCTAGCAGCTGACATTATGTTGATTAAATAAATTCACTGGGCATCTCTAGATCAAGGTTAGGTTGACTTGAAATGTATGTTCTAAAATTAGTGACTCAGGCAATTATAGGACTTACCAGGAAGAATCTCTAAGTATATGCACTCTAGGTAACACCATGTTTGGCTACAATAAAGCAATTTATTCCCGAATGCAGTAAAAATTCTCCTGAGCAACTGAGGTGGAAGAAAATACTTTTGAACCACTTGATCCTTATTTCCATAGTTAAATATTAGATGGTATAAAACCACCAGAAAGTTGTGAGGATCTTCCACACTTCCTTTGCCGAAGGTACCATAATTCATATTAAAACACATTAGAATACCATATGAAGCCCAACACTCAATTTACCGTATAACTATTGTTGAAGTCATTTCACAAAGGACAGTAAGTTACAGTAGAGAGTTCAAGTTGGAGTTTTTCAGATGTTTACTTTTTCTCAATAGAAATTCAACATCAAGAAACCTTTGCTCTCCTGTATGGAAGTCACATGTGTTCCCTTTTTGCCCTGTCAAGTCCCAAACTGAATGCACCTCCACAGCAACATCCACTGTTATTGGCACACTTCCTCCTCCTGGCTTTGACTTCAGTTGGTACCTCCTTCATTGCAAGGTAATTTCAGAGATGAGGGATGAATAAAATTAATCAATCAAGGAAAGTAACACTTATTAAGTAGCTACTACATGTCAGGTACTTTCATGCAATTCCATTTCATCTTTGCAACAATGAGATATATCCCATTATTCCCCATTTTACAAATGAGGAGACAGGGAAGTTATTTAAAATAAAAAACTTGCTCAAGGCCACAGACCCAGACAAGCAAGATTCATGTCGATGACACCTGACTCCAAAGCGTATCTTTTCCATTTCAAAATGGTGCACTTAACCTATGACATATTGCCAGCCTTTAGGATATGAAAAAAAAAATAGCATTACTACTCAATTTGACTTGCTTTACATATTCATTTAGTGAGTCAATGGTTCTCAAAATGTTCACTCTTCCACTTATACCTTATTATCACATTTCCACAAAATGAAAGCCTGCACTATCCCTTTGACAAGAGAGTAAGTTGCAAATGGCAACATAGAGAATTTAGAGGATAAAGCTAGTACAGGAGGAGGCCTAGTCTTCCATTATCGGGATGTATTGCTGCCTCCCTCTGAAATATTCTTTCTACCTGCTAAGTTTTAGTTTCCACAAGAATTATTTCATAATTTTTTTTCACCAGTTCTAAAGATTTCCAAAACTCCATTTTGAAAGACACTACATTTCTAAGTTCAGTAAAACAAGCATATGTCAAAGAACCTGGAACACACAAATAGTCTTGAACTTTCTTAATGTATGAAATGATTTTTACCCTGCAACATCTAAAGTGGTTCCATGCAAGACTGAAACGAACACTTAAAGAACTGGTGAAGATCAAGGACATTGTGCCGTGTTGTATTATAATTACAATTTTATTTAAGAATTTACTTACCTAGAATCCTTAAAAGTCAAATGTAGATAAACTGCTCACTAAGCAACATTATCAATTCTTTAAAACAGCGTTAAATCAAACCACATTTGATAACCAAAATATCAAAGACTAATATTCTTAGGTTGGCATGAGTTATCATAAACCATGCTAAAATTAGGTGTTTAGCGGTCATCATTATAATAACTTAATAAGAAATGCATTTTGATGACAAAGTCCCCTTGGAAATACTGTTTTGTTGGAAAGGCAATTTCAATATCAAACACTTCTACCAAAAATATATTTCCATAGTGACATTTAAGATGATAAAACTATCAAAGCCCAGTTCTTTTGATTGCAAAGGTCGAAACGTTTCTCCTTCCTCTGGAAACCCGCTGTGCTATTTATTGAAGTCCTTCACACACACTGATCCGTCTCAGGCAAGTGCTGCATCATGGAAAATCGCGTTTTTATTTTTAAGCCTTACCTTCAGATAGGATCCATAATATTTGGTTACGTATGGACTATCACACTGACTCAGCACTGTGATTTCCTGTTGAATGTCCTCTATCTCATCTTCAGCTTCTTCCAGATCAATGATTTTTATGGCAACCACTTTCTGAGTCCGATTGTCAATGCCTTTGAACACCTCACCAAAAGAGCCCTTTCCAATTTTCTCTAGCTTTGTAAAAAGCTCTTCTGGATCTGCTTTTAGGTTCTGTAGGAAAAAGAAAGGGAAACATCAGTGACTCAGCGCTGGGACTGCTTTCTCCTTGTGCTTATTTATAACACTCAGACCACAGTCTTTCAAGGACTGGCCCATCTTCCTCATCTAAGAGCCAGGCTGGTTGTGACCACAATTCTTCACATTTAGGACTTAAAGATCTGCAAGTGTCCCTTATGTGTGTGCATTAGACTAGAAACAGAGCAAGCGTGTAAACAAACAAATACGCAGATTAGAAAAGCTGGGAATGGCTCCAGTACTTGTATAAAGTAATAAAAATCAAAACACTTATTTGACTATATATGGATTTATTGAAAAAAAATCACTCTTGCCTAAGCAAAAATTCCACCTTCTCCCTTATCCCAAATTGTCTAAATTCAGGTTGCTATATACCAGTGGTTCCCAATGTGGGGCACGGGGGGGGGGGGGGGGGGGGGGGTGTTATTTTTTTTTGGGGCGGGGAGCCCGGGGTGGCAGCGAAGAGGTTATCCTCCCCAGGTTATCATACAGTTTCATGGTTTAGGACCGTGTTCCCCAAGCCTGGCTGGTTGTGGGGCCTCATATACAGTATATAAATATATATTATGACATTTATGCATTTCAGTTCTCTTATATGTTCTGAAACTTTATTTACTATTTTTTCATATCACTTCATATTATTTTTTTTAACAATTTCTTAGTGATTTCTTGCCTCAGTACTTCAACTGTCCTTTCATTCCTTTTCTCTTTCATGGATGCCATGTTCTTTGGAAGCTTGTTTAGACCAAGGTAATGGCCTTTTAGGCTTCCTCCATGTGAATAGGAGTTCACTTTTTGAATAATAAGAATGATATGTCACAGGGAGGGGCATCAGGATTTTAGAGATGCTTAGGTGGGGCATGGCCCAAAAAAGGTTGAGAACCACTGCTATATACTAAAATATAAGTTAAATAGCTATATTATGAATAGGAAAAAACATTTATAGCCTTACTTCCTAACAGGCATGATTTTCAAGTCCAACAAACACTGTGTCACATACCTTCACTTTCAGCTACTGTCATGGCCTAACTAAATATTTTAACTAGATCTCAAGAAACAAAAAGCAACCTGTTTTCCTTTGTCATGTAAACATCATGCCCTTGATTACCTTCTAAAAGCTCTTACCCCCCAACCTGGTTAACTGAAAACACACACACAGTGCCCATTTCCAAGGAATACAGCTGAGGGATGCTGCACATCTCACCACGAGGAAATGCCCAGCCCCAAATGCCAACACACCCGTCCGCAGCCCCACAGAGTGAGAGAGGACTCTGGGAGCCCCCCAACCCTACAGACAGATACACCTTCCCTCAGAATCACTGCATATGAACAAGAGGACGCCAGGCCAACCCTCAGAGCCTACTACTCCTTCAAGGAAACTGAAACATTGTGGGGAAAGGAGTAAGAGAAGGAAAGAAGAATTGAAAGGAGAAAGAATAAGAGGCATAGAAAGAGGAGAGGTCCATAGATGGATAAACGTATGGGGCTCAGACACAGAATTACAGCAATTATCGGCAGCATTCTGAGTTACACGAGCTTTTGTGGGTTTAACGAGGCACTAACTTGCTTTCCAAGAGGAAACACAGGAGTCCCAGCAGCACTTTACAAGGGAACTGCTGAAACCCAGCCAGCCCATTTCTAACGCGGAGGTCTTGGGGTGCCACAGTCATGGGTGGCCTCACTAACACCAAAGAGGCCCTATTTGAGACGGCACACTGAACAATGTAAAAGCTCACAAAACCCACCAATCCTATCAGTAAAAATGAACAAAATAAAAGAAAAACGCGCCCTGGACATGCCAGGGAAAAGGGACACAGACGTTTTCAGCAGTTACAAACTCTCCTGTTTTCATACGCTTTCTCTTACCTCCTTCCCCCCAGGATGAGAGAGGGTGGCTCTCCTTTTCTTCAGGGCCAATCCTAAAAGCTGGGCCTTTGAATCCATCCTTCTCTCCTCCAGGATGTGAGTTCATTAATAACTCTCTTGCACTTACTCTCTCTACTGCCCCTCTGCCTAGGGCAGCATGCTCAGGTTTCTCATTTAAACACACACACACACACACACACACACAGAACACCGTCCCTGCTTCACTGGTTGCCCTCTGTCCGGTGCCCACCCCTCACTGGTCACCACTGCAGCCTGGCTCCAGCTCTGGCACCAATGATGCAGCGCTGTGCATCTGATCCTCCTCAAACTCCCTCCCCTAGTAACTCGCCAGTCCCTTGGCGTCTACAACCCTGCTCTCCACTCATCTTCCAGGCCCCCTAGTTCCAAAAGAGTCTTCCTGCACAGACTACCTATATCAGCGCATAATCACAGCAGCCCCCCCAAGGTCCCAGACTCAGCCTCCTATTCTTCCTCTCCTCCCCAGGTTATCATACAGTTTCATGGTTTACCATAGGACTGTGTTCCTCAAATCTAGCTGGTCAGGCACACCTAGGACACTTGCAGATCCCAAACATTCACACACATGGGGGTGGGAAGTGCATAGTCCACATTTTTTAAAGACTGCCCCCCATTGATTCCGATAAATAGCCACCTCTGAGGAAACTGGTTTTGAATTATGGCATGCATGGGGACTTGCAAATTGCTAGCTCCAGCCTTGCCTTTTGTGCTTTAACTCCTAGAATCAATTACTTGCTAGATATCTCTTTCTACCAGGACACGGCAAGCTCAATATGTATCAAGTGAATTCATTATTTCCACTGCTGAACTGGCCGACCTCCCACAGCACACTACACCTGTGCTAGACTATAAGCTGAGGGCGTTCCGGGACTGTGTCTTACCTTGGTACCAATGTGCATGGGCACAATAACTGATGGTCAACAAATGTCCCATGAGCAGGAAGAAACCCCAGCCTTACACTAACACAAACAGGATCCAGGGCAGGAACAACAAATATCCTAATTCAGAGAGACAGACAGCCTGGAAGGAGGGAATAGTAGGGTAAGGCAAGCCTGAATACTCAGGAGCAGTGATCCTCACATCTCAGGGGCATCAGAATCAGCTGGAGGGACTGTTAGAACACAGACTGTCTGGCCCCACCCCGGAGTTCCTGATTCAGTAAATTCGGTGTGGGACTCAAGAACCAGAGTGTCCAGGTGATACAGCTGCTGGTGGCCTGGGTACCACACTTTGAGAACCAAGGCTCTAGCCACACACCCAGGCACACTGCAGACATGGAGAGAGATGCCCAGCTTCCTAGCTGTCCCTGCAGAGCCCAGGCCAGCAACTCAGCTGACCACAGGTACCTGAGTGAATCCAAGCGAGGCATGCAGAAAAACCTCCAGACAAACTGAGCAATCATGAGAAATACTAACTCATTAAGTTCTGGGGTGATTTATTACACAAAACTAATCATAACATAACAGATTCAACAGAGATCATTGCAGGAAGAACCTGTCCATTCCGGGGTCGGGGGGTCGGGGGAATTAATAGATGTTCTACACTCTGGAAGGTTTCGTGCTTTTTTGATGTTAATCCTCACCCAAGGGTATTTTTTCCATTGAGAGTGAGAGAGACACATCAATTGGTTGCCTCCTAAATGAGCCACATCAGGGTCGGGGGGCGAACCCGAGACCCTTCAGTCTAGCTGATGCTCTAACCACTGAACCGGCGGCCAGGGCTGGACAGGTTGCAGGTAATAAACTGCCTGATTTTCCCTTTGCCTGGTCTCTGACAGTTTAGAAACAGCTGTTTTCACTGCTGCTTGACTCTTCCTCCAAGCCCTTTCCCAAGTCTGCACCTGTAGAGCGGCAGCTGCTGGTCTCACGTCTGCTCAAGGGGGTGTCACTCCGCACTCTGTCACTGTTAGCAACTGTGAACAGGGTGACTGGTGAGAACGGAGACATCTGCTAAGATGATGACAGCAGGACACTAAACAAGCAGGGGTCCTTGCCATTTGGCAATTCCTGCATAAACTCATTCCCATGCAGTGTAGCCCAATGGCCATAAGAACATCAATGCCAATGACGGCCTATTTCAAACAGGACCTTCAAAATTCTGCTGCCAGATCTATTCTCTGAGGAAAGATTTCCTTGGTAGCAAAGGTGCCATTCTGCCAACCATCTTGAGAATTTTCTTTTCAGGAAGGTTTATGCTGAACTAAATACAGGTCATCATCCCCAATTAGAAAGGTCTACCAGCCCATCACCCCACCCCTCTAGGACCCTCCTCCCTCATGCCGCTGGCGGGGAGTTGAGTGCTGCCTGCACATGAACATCCTGCTCACCAAACAGCTACTGTTGTTTTGGCTGTTGTCTTTTTTTTTTTTTTAATTTGACAATCTAAGGGAAAAGAGGTCAGATATTTCATGCTTTTAAAATTCTTGTGACATACCAGTTGAAAATTGCTCTTCAGCTATTCACTTTTGTTTTTCTATGAAAAGAAAAAGGAACTAAGTTTGATGTGTTCTAACACCTGCTATGTACACATCACTATCCCTGCAGCAACAGAAAAGAGAACACTGTAGTTCAGGAGGTCTAGATCAGGAAGGGAAGTTGTGGCAGGAGTACCCCCTCCCCGCCCTCTTCTGAACCTGGCAAGCATCCCTATTAAATCGCAGGACTCTCCTCCTACAGCTGAATTCAGACCTCACCCCACCACCTAGGCAGCCACCACCAAGTCAGCCCACCGAGCACAGAGGTGGAACCTATTTGCCAGCCTGATGTAGTCCTATTACCAACAGGTCTCATCATGGCTGTTCAGCGTTACCTTGTCCTTCCATATCTGCCG